GTATGCTAATGAGTCTGGATTCTCCTTGTCCTTATTTGTCACTGATGTTCTTGAAGTCAGCGGGAAGGAATGCTGTGCTTGTGTGAGGTGGAAACTCGTGTGATCCCTTGATGGAACATCTCTGGAAGATCTTTTTACATCTCGTTTTACCCCTTAATGCAATCAGGACCTTTAAAGGCAAAGGTCTGGCCATGGGCACCTTTGAGATAATTTTTATTCCCTTTTACCTGGCAGTTGAAATCCAAAGTATAAAATTGTAATTTTTAACTATCCTAAAGGGGGCTTTAAAATAACTTTACTGAGGCTCGGCACCTGTAGCACAGTGGTTACAGCACCAGCCACATACATTGAGGGTGGCAGGTTCAAAACCAACCTGGGCCAGCTAAACAACTGCAACAAAAAATAGCCTGTAGTCCCAGCTACTCGGGAGGCTGAGGTAAGAGAATCACTTAAGCCCAAGAGTTTGAGGTTGCTGTGATCTGTGATGCCATGGCACTCTACCGAGGGCGACATACTGAGACACTCTCTCAAAAACAAAAACCAAAACCAAAAACATAAAATAATTTTGCTGACACCAGGCTCAGTGGTTCACATGGGTAATCCTGCACTCTGGGAGGCCAAAGTGGGAGAATCACCTGAGCTCAGGAGTTCAAGACCAGCCTGAGCAACAGCAAGACCCTATCTCTGCTAAAAATAGAAAAGTTATCCCAGCCTAGGATAGGCAGGATAACTGTAGGCAGGCAGGCAGCTGGAGTCCCAGCTACTTGGGAGCCTGGGGCAGGAAGATTGCTTGAGCCCAGGAATTTGGGATTGTTGAGCAACAGAGTAAGACTCTGTCTAAAAACCAACAAACAAAACTTTGCTGAAAGGGAGTAAAAGAAAATAATCTTAACTTCCTTGTCACCTGCCATGATATGTTGGTAACAATTTGTCAGGGGAATAAAAGCAACATTTAATACCAAATGAGTAAACATCACTGAATGTCCCAATCTGGCCCGCAGCAGTGAGTTAATCCTCCTGGAGAAGGGAGTGAATGGCCACAGGGCTCTCCCCTGGCACAGCTGTCATGTTCCTGGTTCAGCTGGTCCAGATCACATCCTGTTCTGCACGGTGAATGAATGGAGCAACCCCAGGCTTGGCCGCACTGGGTCTGGCTCTCGGTAGCTCAGGGTTTGGAATTGTAGTGAGATAACCACCTGTCTTACAGAGCTTAGGAAATAAGAGATGAGCTGGGAGGACAAAAAACAATATAAAATCTAGTCCAAGAATTATCCCATAATGTTGTTTCTTATTCCAGCATGGAAATAATACAGTTGACCCTTGAACAACCCAGGTTTGAACTGGCTTTTTTTTCGAAGGAAAGGCAGATGGAAGATACAGTATTCACAAGATAGGAAACCAAGTATAAGAATGTGCCCCAGGGCACACTGTGGCAATTGGGTTTGCACAGATTTAGTTATACACGGACGAAGGGTGGTCCTGAACCTATGCCCCGTGTACCAACCAATGACTATAGTGATAACTGCTGAGCTGTAATACAAACTTGTCACCAGACCCTTTGCAAAGTGCTATTTGTACATTACCTTATCTAACTGTCATACCTCAGAGGTAGCCATCCAACTAGGGTTCAGAAAGCCCAGGCAATTTAGAATCCTATGGTAAGTATGTGGCTAGATTTGAACCAGAACTATCCCAGTCAAGGCTGAGCTTTTTTTTTAATTGAAACAGAGTTTCACTATGTTGCCCTTAGTAGAGTGCTATGGAGTCATAGCTCACAGCAACCTCAAACTCTTGGGCTCAAGCGGTTCTCTTACTTCAGCTTCCTGGGTAGCTGGGACTACAGACACCTGCGCCAACGCCCGGGTATTTTTTTGGGTTAGCAGGCCTGGGCTGAGTTTGAACTCACCAGCCCCAGAGCATGTGGCAGGAGCCATAACCACTGAGCTATAAGCACCCAGCCCAAGCCTGAGCTTTTATGCAGCATATTCTTCTGTCTGCTCAAGCAGCCAAAATTCCCAAAGGACAATACTTGCTGATTTTCAGTTTGATATAGCTACTTATCCCAGCTGTGAGACCCTGTCTCTCTCACTCACAAAGTGCACCCTTCGTACTTTACTGGAATTCTCATTAGCCCCAGAACCGCTCATTTGTCGAAAGACCAACTCTTCAGCTGGGCGTGATGGCTTATATCTATAGTCCTAGCACTCTGGGAGGCCAAGGTGGGTAGATTGCTTGAGATCAGGAGTTCATGACCATCAAGAGTGAGACCCTGTCTCTAAAAATAACTAGGTGTTGAGGCTGGTACCTGAAGTCCCAGCTACTTGGGAGGCTGAGGCAAGCGGACCACTTGAGCCCAAGAGTTTAAGGTTGCTGTGAGCTATGATGTTGCAGCACTCTAGCTGTAACAAGGGTGACAAGGTGAAGACTCTGTCTCAACAAGCAAACAAACAAACAAACAAACTCTTCTATGCAGTCTGCTTATTTCAGTAGACACACAAATGTCCTTTATCAATTCATGACACCTGGATAAAGGAGAGTTTTAACTCCACTTTTGAACAGCCGTGGATACCTCATCCAACAGATGTTTGCACTCAAAGAGGCTGTAAAGTAGATCAAACTGTGTAAGTCAGCCTCTGCCTGATGTTCTGACAGGGGAGTCTTAGCAGACACCTACCTTCCCACCAGCTGTTACTAAGATAGCTGCAAATGCTTACCTGGGGTGACCTATCACCTTGCAAGGAGCTCCCTGTTTCAGTTTCCTAGGCAGCAGTTTGAGAAACTGATCCCTGTAATGGCAGCTGCTAAAGGTGACAGCTATTTGTGAATGATTAGTAAGTATATGTTCAAATCAGATTTTTTTTTCCAGACAGTCTCACTATGTTGCCCTCGGTAGAGTGCTATGGTGTCACAGCTCACAGCAACCTCCAACTCTTGGGCTTAAGTGATTCTCTTGCCATAGCCTCCCAAATAGCTGGGTCTATAGGTGCCCTCCACAAAGCCCAGCTATTTTTTGGTTGCAGTTGTCATTATTGTTTAGCAGGGCCAAGTGGGCTTGAACCTGCCAGCCTCAGTGCATATGGCCTGCACCCTACTCACTGAGCTATGGGCACCAAGCCACATTATATATTTTTATATAAGTAGATATTATGTAACATAAATATATATTATATAATTTTTATTTTATATTTATATATAATTTTGCATGTTTGTGTAGAGATGGGGGTCTCATTATGTTGCCAAGGCTGGTCTTGAACTCCTAGGTTCAAGTGGTCCTTCTGCCTCAGCCTCTCAAAGTCCTGAGATTAAAGGCATGAGCCACTGTATAGGGCCAAAATATTAAAACTTCATTTAATAACTATTGGTAGTTTTAGGAGGTTTTTTAGGTTATTTTTTTTTTTTTTTTTTTTTTTTTTTTTTTTTTTTTTTTTTTTTTTTAAGACAGCGCCTCAAGCTGTCCCCCTGGGTAGAGTGCTGTGGCATTACAGCTCACAGCAACCTCCAACTCCTGGGCTCAAGCGAGTCTCCTGCCTCCGCCTCCCAAGTAGCTGGGACCACAGGCGCCTGCCACAACGCCCGGCTATTTTTTGGTTGCAGCCATCATTGTTGTTTGGCGGGTCCAGGCTGGGGATTCGAACCCGCCACCTTAGGTGTACGTGGCTGGCGCCTTAGCCGGTTGAGCTATAGGCACCGAGCCCTTGTTTTGTTTTCTGAGATAGAGTCTTACTTTGTCACCCTGGGTAGAGGAGTGTGTCATAGCTCACAGCAACCTCAGACTCTTAGGCTCCTGTGATTCTCTTGCCTTGGCTTTCCAAGTAACTGGGACTACAGGCACCTGCCACAACACCCAGCTAGTTTTTCTATTTTTAGTAGAGATGGGGTCTCTCTCTTCCTTAGGCTGGTCTCAAACTCCTGAGCCCAAGCAATCCACCACCACTGTGCTGGCCTCCCAGAGTGCTGGGATTACAAATGTAAGCCACTGCACCCAGCCCATAGCTTAATTTCTTTCAACTATTTTTCTTGCCCCTTGAACTGCAACCATGGTGAACTTTCCAGAACTTTCCAGACTTCCAGGCCAGTCTCTTTGCCTCAGAGTCTTCTCTTCTAGATCATTCATCAAGACCTTGTGGCAGTGCCTATAGCTCAAGCGGCTAAGGCACCAGCCACATAGACAGGAGCTGGAGGGTTCAAATCCAGCCCTGGCCTGTCAAACAACAACTATAACCAAAAATAACCGAGCATTGTGGTTGGCACCTGTTGTCCCAGCTACTTGGGAGACTGAAGCAAGAGGATCGCTTAAGCCCAAGAGTCGGAGGTTGCTGTGAACAGTGATGCCATGGCGCTCTACCCAGGGCAACAGCTTGAGACTCTGTCTCAAAAAAAAAAAATAAAAGAAAAGAAAAAGACCTTGTACCAGTGCCTCTTCTCTCGGAGGCCATTCCTCACTCTCCTGTGGTGGTCTGTGTCCCCTTCTTCTGTCACCCATGGACTTGGACCTGTCTCAATTAAAACTCATCACCTAGTGCCGCTGTCTTTGTTTACCTGTGTAGTTTGCCTGTATAGTGTAAAAATAAGGGCAACACCTATGGCTCAAAGGAGTAGGGCACCAGCCCCATACACCAGAGGTGGTGGGTTCAAACCCAGCTCTAGCTAAAAACTGCAAAAAAAAAAAAAACAAACCTGTTTAAAAAATAAGAAATCTTTCCTTCTTCATTGCTGTGTTCTTCTGGTGCTTGACACATTATTGGTGCCCAGCAAAACTGATAAATAAATTGCATATAAGTAGAAGAACTATGGTTGTTCAAAACCGTTTTGGAGGATAAGTAATGAAAACCTATTTGATTTTTATTTGTTGAAACCTCCTTTAGTTTGTAAAAGTGAAAACTCGTGTTAACAGAAGATCTTCTCCTTACTACCACTTTGTTTACTGTTCATCTGTGAAACACGTGTAATATGATTCTCTGAGAAATTTGACCTTGCCTTGCTGTTCTTTTATCTTCCAGTTTCCAGTTACGGCCCTCCCTTGCCATAACTTTTGGACAGTATTTGAGAAGATACTGGCCAAGAGAAAAAATGATAAAATTTTTCCTCATGGTGAATAAACAAGGGCAGACCCGACTTTCTAAGTACTACGAACATGTGGATATTAATAAGCGTACACTTCTGGAAACAGAGGTCATAAAGAGCTGTCTCTCCCGATCCAGTGAACAAGTAAGTTTCTGCTGCACCGCCTTTTATCTCTGCATTCAACTCAGCCTTGGTGGGTCCGAGTCTCCATGACTGTCATTTTCTTTGCACTCTACTCCTTCAACAGCTATTAGGGTAAATAAGGAGTGATATGAAGTAAAGACAGAAGGAAGCATAACCTTCTTCTTCACATCTCTATAAGAAAAACACAGGTCTCTCTCACCTTCTCTCCTTCATGAGAAGGACCCACTTGCAACTCTCCTTGGAAGTGCTCTAAACATTGTCTTTGTTCTTCCTAAATAAAATCTCTTTGTTAGTGAACCATGGAAGTAGCAGCTAAATTTATTCCCACTAATAGGCATATCTTGTTATTTTTTTTGTTCCTGTGAATTTAGCCCTTGTTACTCTCACAAATGTTTGTAGCGGGTGGCTTTCTGTAAACCAAGAAATAAAGGTTGCATGCTTGGCATAGAGGTGAATACTCAAGATTCATTTTGTGCCAGTGAATAGTATGGTTCTCATATGGGGTATAGTTTTTTCTGTAATATAGAATAATTCTGTAATACAGAATAATATAGTTTATTATTTTTGTAAATATACCACTGATGTAATATTGGAATATTGACTTAAAAACAAAATGAACTTGATTTGAACTTATTTTATTATGGAAGTTCAAAATTCATATGAGGCTCAGCTCCTGTAGCTTAGGCGGCTAGGGCGCCAGTCACATACACCAGAGCTGGCAGGTTCGAATCCAGCCCGGGCCAAAAAGTAGCTGAGTGTTGTGGCGGGCACCTGTAGTCCCAGCTACTTGGGCGGCTGAGGCAAGAAAATCACTTGGGCCCAGGAGTTGGAGGTTGCTGTGATCTGTGATGCCACAGCACTCTACCTAGTGCAACAGCTTAAGTCTCTGTCTCAAAAAAAGAAACTCATATAGAACAACAAATCTATCCATTCTGTTAGATTGGAAGTTAAATAAAATCATTAAAATAATAATAAATAAGGACTTTTAAAAACATCTCTTTTTGGGGTGGCACCTGTGGCTCAAGGAGTAGGGTGCCAGCCCCGTATACCAGAGGTGTTGGGTTTAAACTTGGCCCTGGCCAAAAACTGCAAAAAAAGAGTCTCTTTTTACAAAGATTTTTATTGAGATTTACTTAATCCATGGCTCGGTGCCTGTGGCTCAAGTGGCTAAGACACCA